CCCCCCCCCCCCCCCCCCCCCAAAACCCCCAACTCTCCCTGTGATGTACAAGAAAGGGGCTTGCACTTTGCCAGTGTTTGCGCAACCCACAAACAAATATTGGACAGATCAACTAAAGCCATTGAGGGGGCCCTGAGGAAAACGTTAGTGAGCAGTAGGAGAGTGAGAGAGAAGGGAAATAGATGAAACACAGGGGGTCCCAAACACATCGGCACCTTAGGAGCGATCTCGGCACCCTTGCCCCCACTTCACCCCACACCCCCCCGGCCTCCCATCCCATCTTTACCGTTGTCATGGTTGTGTCATCGTTCCTAGGAGTGAGTCCCTCAAAGACTCGCAGGCTGTAGAAGCCAACGACAGAGGACACCATCAAGTAGCTGTTGAGCAAATCAATCAAGGACCAAAAACACTTCTCCGCTGGTAGCAAAGCCGCTTCATTGAGTCGCCCTCTTAAGTATTCCTAATCTGCACCTTTTCAGCTACCATAAAAGGTGACGAAACAGCACAACATGTCTTCCGGAAGGTGTCCGGCTGAACTATGTCCTGGGTAAACAAAGCTGGCTTGACAATGTTGCTCTTGGCCATGAAGCATGCTACTTTGGCCACAAACAATGGAGGGGGGGGGGGGGGGTCACTTAAAGGATACAACATGAGGATGATCTCCAGCACCGCCTGAGCCAAGCCAAACGTGGACAGAGAGGTGTTCCCAATGCCTCGGTCCTGGAAGATGAAGACACAGACGGAAGACGGGGTTACTCAGTGCCCTCAAACACCGATCTCAAATAAACACATCACAAATAAAAACAGAAAATGGGAAACGACGGCACTGCAGGCCGTTGCACGCACACACACACACACACCCAGACACACGCACATGCAATTACAGAAATCCTGCAAAGTTAGTATGCGGTGCATGAAGAATTTCCCCACTTGAGAAGGACAGAATCAAATTGGCTAAGTAATGAATGGAACAAGATGAAAGAGGCTCTTTTCAAATCACTGTCGATCATACAGTATGTGAACAGGTGTCCAAACAAAAAACGGCACATTGCTTAAGAAGAGTGTACAGGCTAAAGCAAGCTAAAAACATGAAAACAACAAAA